CAAAGTAAAAAAAGAGAAGGAAAAGCTTGGTTTATTTTGTAGTAAGCAGAAAACATCAAACTGCCAAAAGCTCTTCTTTTTAAGCTTTTCCACATAGCACACAAGTTTACTTTTGTTGTCTCTGAGATTTATTAGCAAAGGGTGGTAGATCTGTCACTGCTTAGACAGATACGTAAATGTGGCTCAAAAATAAAGAACGTAATCAACTATCAAACAAATTTGATTAATAAACTAATGAAGCTAAATAAAGCAATGAATTTGTTCTTATGCTACTAAGGTTGTTCTGAGTTTCTGTACTCCACATATTATTCTCACTGATAACATATTGCTAAAGTAAGTTTATTGATAAGCCTTGAGTTAAAAAAATTTATATTATAATTAATTTAGATTCTTTTTTGTTTGACAAACTTTTTGAAAAACTTCCAGTAAATTTTTGATATAAAAGACTTCAATCAAATTGCTCAAACGACTACTGTAAAAACGTTAATCGTTTCTGTAGTTTTCTCCTGCCTATTCTAAAATAATATATCAGAAAAATTGCTAACCCAGTTACACATATGATAGATCTCCGTAAATGTTGAATATATAACGATAATATTTTTATTAAGCAAAAAAATTTTTTAATCTGAAAACTTTAACGTTGGAAAAGAATTCTATAGAAAGCAAATATATAAAAATAAATCGACAGTTGCACATTTTCAAACATTTATTTTTACAAAAAATATGTAGATAAATAAGAAGACGCATATATCTGCAAAGAAAGAAAAAGCCTGATAATTTTTTATATGATCAATACTTTCCTAGACACTTCTTTGCTATTAAACAGTAAAATTAAAGTTTCAAGTACCATTTTGGTAACCTTCTCAAGCAATAGATCATTTTTGACCCTAACAGCAAAACGATTACAAAATTTAAATGTTGCAAAAAATTAGCAGCAGCAAACCTTCAATTAACTTTATCGACTTATCGTTTTCTCAGTTAAAATTACCCGAAGATATCGTAGTATACATGGTGTTAACTTGAAAAGATACCTCAAATTCACTTATAAAACGAATGTACAGAAGCAAAATTTTATACACTATTCAGAAGTTCTTCTCAGCTGATAACTTGTTGTTACGTGATTACAACTTGATGTGCAACTGAGCTGTATTGAACAATATAAACTGCATTTTATTATGCATTTTTGAATCACGTTTATCTTATTGTTGGTTCATCGAATTCCCCCATTAATTTTCCCATCACTATTTTTTATCAGAAATATTTCCGCAAAGGAAATAATCAGAAAAGTTTATTTCACGATATATTATTACACAAAAGGGGATTCCCGTATTTACACTAATAAATGATAATAAAATTTAGTTCGTCATCTGAAGTAATAGTCGACGAAATAATTTGTGACCAGTAAACGGCTGATAACAAATATTTCAATAAACTTTAATGACCTTATTAATTGAGAAAAACTAAAAAATATAATCAACTGGTGAATGAAAAAGTTATGCGGTTATTGCAGAAGAATGATCATTGCTTTTGCGATCAAAAATTTGGTTTATAAAAAGCGTGCAATCAGGTATGACAAACATCTGATGTAAACACCATACTGCTAA